TAATTATGTCCCCACTGGATGCAACAAATACCTCGTTTATAATGGGTTTTAATGTTTTTGTCTCGTTGCTCCGGCCGGGACACTGCATCACAATATGATAAGAGGCGTAACATTTCTGTCACACGCTTGAAGTATTCGGCCAATCACAACACACTGGATAGCTGGCCAATCAGAGCATAAACACATTTCATTACACCAAATACACAAAATAATGTTCTTTTTAGCAACATCATATGACCCCTTTAATTACCCCCCTCCACAAACTAAGGCCTCAAATGGGAGCAGAAAGTTTTAAATATGCTTAATGCATAATGTCATGGAATTAAATGTTGCATGCATTGCAAAAAATTTTTTTAAATCTAAACATCCTTAAATCAAGATAAATTTACTTGAGATGCAATTTGAACAGATAAAGGTCTTTTTTTTTTCTTAGAAATTGAATTGAGTTTATGGTTAAAACAAGAACAAATATCTTAATCATATGTTTTCATTTCTTGAATTAAATCTTGAAGTTGGCAGATATTTGTTATTCGTTTTAATCGTAAACCCTCTTCATTTTTATAAATTGTTTAGAAAACAAGAGTTATATTTTGTATTTATGCTTCAAAAGTAAATGTACCATGATTAAACTCTTTAGAAATTTGCACTAGAGAACAAGATAAAATACTATTGAAGCACATCACTTTTTTGCAGTGTGATGAGAAGGTACAGTAAAAGTCATTTCCAGATTGTATGCAGAGCTATTCAAGACAAGTCATAAGCTAATACAAGACATTTACATTTAGAGACCATATAGTGTTCTATTAAATTCATTCCTCAAATTTTCTTTACTTGACATACAGTATATTTGACATTGACAGGAATTTAACAGTGAACATTTAATCGATTACAATGACGTCACTGCTTTTGTCACAAAGCTGGGTGTTTGATTCCAGCACCTGAACAATGTGAGCTGAAGAAGGTCTTTTATGAGGGTCTTCCTCTGTACAGAGACAGAAGAGCTCCACCATCCTCTGATACGCCCCTCCGAGAGTGGCTGCGTCCAAAGCAGGCCGAGTTCCCAGTCTCTCATAATACGCATCTTCATCAAAATCATCCTCATCAAAGGCATCATCTAAGAAAACAAGAAAAGAGTCATGAGGCACTTAAAAAATATGAAAACTAAATATATTCACTATAAGCTATGGATACAATTATAGTAATTTTACCATCATCATCATCATTATCATCATCCCCCTCAGTGTCTAGTATCTCCAGGTGAGGAACAGAAAGTGTCATCATCTCCCACAGAGTGAGTCCATACGCAAAGATATCAGCTTTGTCTGTGATAACTCCATCCTCCAAAGCTTCCTTAGGCTTCCACGGCTCTGTCCCTATATAGTGGGCTTTTGGATCACTCACTGGAGAGAAGATTTGAAATATCACAACACTGACAAACATGTTGTACACAACATCTACTGTCTGATAGTTTAAACTTTATTTTTTCAGATTATTAATTTCATATGTCAGACTTCATAGGATTAATAGAGTGGTTCTCAAATGATGGGCCATCATTCAAAACGATAAAATATAAATAAGAAAAAAAAATGAAAAACTGAAGTAAAAGAATATGATTAAAGCAAGGAAAAATAATGCTGAAATATGAAATCTTTTCATACCCTGCATGTTTTCATCCAGTGGCAGTGACACACCAACATCACAGATTTTGATGCTTTCAAAGTCGCCCTTGATTACAACGTTGCATGACTTCATGTCTCCATGCAAAAGCTTTTTCTCATTGTGCAAATACTGAAGAAAAAAGACAAAATACATACATATGTAGAAGCCTGAGATTGTGTAATAACAACAACAACAACATTTAAAGATGGGAAAAAGCAGTAACAGCACATTTATGTTTGATTTAACAATCACACCTGTAAACCACGTGCGACATGAAGAGCCACTTTTTCAATAGTGGCCACTGGAAATGCCTGTAGACCCTCCTCTCTCCTCTTCTCAATGAGGTCATTCAGAGACTGCTCTCCACCGTACTCCATCGCCAAACACTTCGAGCCGTCCTTTGCTGTGGTAAAAGCTCTGAAACCTTAAAAACACACAGGAAATAAATCATTTAAAGAGATATTTGTCTTATAATATTCACATTAACTATTATAATGTAGTACTTTAAAGACATTTACCAACAATATTGGGATGGTGCAGGTCTTTTAAGATCTTTGCCTCCTCGCACAGACGCTTCTGATAAACGGTCATTTGACTATTTGCACATTTGCTGCTGATCTTCTTAATGGCCCACGGTGAATGAGTGTGCTTACCCATCCTGATGTAAATAGTGACATAGATGTTTCAACTTTTTCTTTACACTATCATGGCGAAGGTAGTACAAACATGCATCAAATATATGTACGTACCTGTTCATGAGATAGACACTGACTCCAGTCCCACAGCCGAGCTTCTTCATGAAGGGAGAGGCAGGAATGGTGACTGGGGTTCCACATGCACTGACTGATAACAACACATTTACTTTTACTTACTTTTACTTATTTAGCAGACGCTTATATCCAAAGCGACTTACAAATAAGAAAAAGTAATTAAAACTAAAAGCTAAAACTCTATAAATACTATATATATATATATATATATATATATATATACATACACACACACACACACACACACACATAAGAAAATAAAAGAAATTAAATAAAAATGACAAATGCATACAACAACACTTCAAAACGAAATATTTAAATGAAAACAAAAAAATAATCTTA